TGCTTCCGAATGAAAAAATTGACAGATATTTCACGTCTAGCAAAAGTCATTTTCCATATAAAAAATTATGAATGTTAGGACCTTATACACAAAATATGTCTACAATTTTGTATAGAATTAAAAAATGAAGTAATATACAAAGCGTTCCATTTAAAATAAGAAAGTTGATACTCACCCCGTAAAATGAAACACCCTGTGTATACAATATTAAAATAAATTGAAGGTTTGTAATACCCCCATTAATTTAACTTTTAGATCCATTCCCTATTGTTTCTGAGATAGGGTAGTGTCCCGAGATAAACGGCCCAACCTATATAATCGTATTCAGAATTCAATATCACAGACGAAGAAGAATAAGAACAAGAAGAATTTTGTGATTGTCTACGGGAATAATGAACGCTTTCTCTAAAAGCAGACGAGCTTATATTTGGCTTCTTTATGCTAGAGAGTAGTAAAATATAAATTTGCAATGAGGGGGATCATTAAACAGGGTGAACAACTTATAGTTTATATCGTAGACTTCAGTTAAATTGCAATTCCAGTTGCCATTTTTGAATTCTGCAAGTTCAAAAACTCGTAGATATTGAATTTTATCCTTCCGGTCTAGCAGTTTTGGAGACATTTACGTGTTCCGGTATTTTTTACTTACCAGGATTTTCTTGACTGGCAGCCGCCATTATTGATGACTACATATAATGGGCCTAAGAGGAATAAGATGTACGTTTTCTTCAAAAATAATAGCATTTATTTCCTTATGATAGTCTCTTGTCTGTTTTGATTAAAATGCCAATTAGCTACCACCTACCAATCGGAGTAATTTTACGTTTCTTCAAGAATGCTTTTGTTCCAGTGGACCATCCTTCATTTCATGACCATAAGTGTAATGAAAACACCCACTGTGATTTCAGACACTACTTTGTCCAAGGGAACCATTTATTTTATTAAGTAAAACTTGATATATTGTTTGGTTGTCCATTGGAAATAATAATTTTCTCATTTTTATAGCCCGCAGTGTTACTAATCCCGTTTCTCAGTAACAAATTCAGAAACAGTAGCCATTTTCAAAAACGAACTTTGCCAACAACTGCCGGAAGGAATTCTAATTTTAAACACTGAGGCACAGTAGGTCAACCACCGGACCTTATATATCACTTTCAGGACCCTTTACAATCATCATAGATGTTCAAAGCTCAATTGATGGTAAGTTGCTCTCCCAGCGCTCTAAGAGTGAGTGGTTTTTTAGACAAATTTCATATTGTACACAAAACCATTTTCATATTTTAATTTTTTGTCTCCTTTTATTTTCATTTTTAACATAGCCGGAATACAATAACAGCAAAATAATCGAAACAAAGGATTAAAATATCCGCTCTACTTGTACATATCTTCCCTAAGTAAATGTTTAAAAGTTGGTACGAATTGAAACACTTTGGGGAGAAACTAATATGTAAAACTTTGAAACAATCTTCATCGTCGCAATCAATGTTCTAAAAAATAATCTCCGAAAATATTTCATTTTATTTTAGTTATTTTATTTAATTATTGTTGACAAATCGAACTTGCTGACATTTCGCTAATTATCCTGTTAGCTTCTTCAAAGCTTAACTGAAAACTAACCAATTCTCCTGTTGGCTTTTTCAGAACTTAACTGAAACCCAGCCAATGAACGTGAGCAAGAGTAATCCAGATGATTTTTAAACAACGTTACAGTAGCCTGTGGGGGTTTCTTTGAAAAACTAAATATATAATGGAAAAATCCTATCACACCATATTTCACAGAAAAAGCTATAATTTACAAGCATATTGACAACGAAACATCACAGTTGAAGAAGAAAAAAAAGAATTTTGCTATGGAACGCATTCACAGAAATTAGACGACCCTTTTGGATGAAGGAGGTTTCCACATATAAAATATTTACTTCTATAAACAGCTCTTTCAATTTGAAAGCCTAACTTATTCAGAATATCCAATGATGATGATAAGTTCGTCTACCAGCTGTTGAAAGGTTTTTAGAGAAATTTGATATTTTTTGACAGACCACGGACCAAAATCGAAATCAGAGTACTAGAGGATTAAGAATAGCATCTCCCAAGTGTTCTGAAAAATAATTTCTGAAAACATTTAATTTTGTTTCCTTTCATTTTATTTATCTGTAATTAATTTGTTAATTAATTAAGTAAGAAGAAAAACTACACTAAAACATAATCTATTAATTCATCATGAATCTACTCACGCGTGAACAACGCTTGCAAATGGGCCCCAAAACGAGATTGCCGTTGTTCCCCATTTTCATAAGCGAATTTTGTTTGGCGATGAAGCGCACTTCTGGTTGAATGGCTACGTCAACAAACACAACTGCCGCATTTGGAGCGAAGCTAATGCTAAGTGTATGTCGAAACACCGTTACATCCAGAAAAACTGACTCTTTGGTGAGCTTTATGGGTTGGTGGAATCACTGGTCCGTACTTCTTCAAAATCGATGATGGCCAGAACGTTACAGTCAATGGTGATCGGTATAGAGCTATGATTACTAACTCTTTCATTCCTGAATTGAATAACCATGATATCCAGGAGATGTGGTTTCTACAAGATGGCGCAGCAGGTCACACAACTCGTGCCACAATCGATTTATTGAAAGACACGTTTGGTGACCGCCTAATTTCACGTTTTGCACTTGAGAAATGGCCTCCAAGATCTTGTGATTTAACACTGCTAGACTACTTTCTGTGGGGCTATGCAAAGTCATTGGTCTATGCGGATAAGCCACAAACGCTTGACCATTAGGAAGACAACATTCGCCGTGTTATTGCCGATATACGGCCACAAATGTTGGAAAAAGTCATCGGAAATTTGACAGCCAGAAATCATATTTAAAATGTAATGCCACAAAATTATCTTTCGGACAAATAAAATTCATATCAATCGAATAATCCATCGTTGTTTTATTGCAACTTAAAGTTCTCCGCAAATGCTTCTGTTTGTTAATCATCTAATATTTCAGACAAACTCATGGACATAAGAACATAAATCATCATCATAATCATGAGTTCTGAAAAATAACCTCCAAAATATTTCAGACATCATTTACGTACGTGGCAATAGAGATTTAGAATAGTCTTACCAATCGGATACAAAGATAGGAATACCTATCTACACTAAATTAATATCATCTAAATTACTTTTGGAAGAAAATTTGCTTTTCGAATAGTCACATGAAATTTCAATTGCTATTTCTAATTTTTTTTTAATATATTTTTACTACCATTCCATTGGGCCTCTTTTTCCTCCGGTTGTTCCCATGGGGGAAAGCTCCCATTCACTCGTTATATGCAATAACAAATTGAATTATTCATAGTAACACTTTCGAAGTGTTTTCGGAGCGCGAGCATTGAAGATGCCAAGTGAGATTTTGGCGAAACGTCTGCAGGATTCCAGTCGGAGTTCAACAAGCGAACGGTTAATATCCCGGAATATAGTGTCATCACATTTTTCCATCCGTGAATCAATACGTGAAAAAAAAAAAAAAAAAAAATATATATATATATATATATATATATATATATATATATATATATATATATATATATATATATATATATATATATATATATATATATATATATATATATATATATATATATATATATATATATATATATATATATATATATATATATATATATATATATATATATATATATATATATATATATATATATAAAGTTTTTTTTAACTCCTATTATTTTATTTTTTGCGTTTTTTTTTATATATTTTTTTAAGTTAGCAATCTTTCAATATACTCTGGATTCCTGGGTTTCCAGGCCATTGATATATTTCATCATACCGTATTACCGCACAAGTGACTATTTTTAGCATACGCATAAAATAACTTAATGTTTTGCATATTAATACAAATGCCTTGTGGTAAAAAGAATAGCAGAAATAAAACTTTCTCCCTTTCATTCTATTTTTTTGTTATTTATTTATTTATGATTAATTTGTTTATTCCGTAAATTCTAAGGAACTACAGAGCAAACCACATAAGAAAAAAAATATTATTCTGGAACCCTAGGCTACGGTCTAATTCAATTTAATTGGAACCCCGATCAATAATATTTTATTCGACGCATAATGGAACCTTCTCGTGATTTGTTTGCTCTACAAATGACGACGCGAGATGTGGGCCAATTAATTAATCACAGTAACGTTACAAACTATAAATACGTAAGGAGCTACTCTTTCCGAATGCTTCGGACCGACCGAAATATGTTAAATATAATTAAAAATTCGATATTACACGAGGCGTTATGTCACACTAGTAACAAATATGCAAGTAGATGAATTAAAATGACTAATTAACAAATCAGTTTAGAAAAAAATGGTTTTAGGTAAAATTATGTAATAAACGTAAAAATGCAAATTTAACTCTTCGTTCGAATGGAAAGCGACCCGAAATTAACGAAAGTAATTACGAAAGCGTATAAATGTAAATACTGAATTTTTCAAAAATTGGTTATTTTTTCTTAATTGACGACTGTTTAGTTACATCTCACCTCCTTTTTGCCAGGTTCTTTTATTACAATGTATACGGTTATATTATGGTGTTCCTGATTATATTAAAATTATTAGGTTTTTTAATACTTTTGTAGCTTTACCTAAAAATACTTTCTTATCTTTTCTAATTTGCAGTTTTCGGGGTATCTCTTTGCTTTTTCCATTGTATATCAATCTTTAGCCTATTTTATAAACTCGCTGAATTTAGTAACCTTTATTATGTATTATTTATTTATATTTAGGACATCGTATTAAGTAATATGTCATTTACTATGAAAAATATCAAAAAGATTTTATTTATTTTTATTTTTAATTCTTAGATGACATCGATTTCTATTAAAATTAAAATATACCTTATCAAAATTGAAATTAATAAATACTGTGCAGTCTTAACTCTAACACCCTGCATATAAAAAATAATTGAAAATTACCAAAAATTACCGACGTGAGGTGGAGGTTGAACGCTTGAAAAATATAGCATCACATTCCCCCTCGCACTTAACCGATAAAAAGCCGACACTGGAACTCAAGCGCAGAAACTTTCATCGATCGATTGAAAACTCGGCCACACGCATTTTTAACGTCGCGTCGTATTCGTCGTCTGACTGACCGTCGATGTCTTTTCCTCTCGACTGACCGCAGGCTCGACGCACCGTGATAACAACACAAGAAAGGTGGTGAACGACACCACTTCGCGTAAAAATCGTCCAGTCCAGACATGCTTCTACAGTTGTCTTCTCGGCCGCGAAAGCGTGGTCTATTTGTCTTCTATATTTTATTTTTTAGTTAGAAAGGAAGTGGAAGGCAGCACCAAATGGGGCAAAAGTAAAATTAGCTTATTCGGTTACATAATTTTATATTTTATTATTTCTAAAAATGGAATAAGAAATTTATTTGTAAAAAAATCATAGGTAATAGGTATATTAACTAAAATATTTTCAAAAATTTGGTAAAATAATTAATTTTTCGGTATATTTCTTTAGTTAAAAAAGAAAAGCAAGGTAATCTTCAACGGAAAATACGCAACATATAATAGACAAATTAATACATAAAATATACATTTATGGCCAAACAAGATACGTTTTGCCATTGAAACAGAAACTAATAACAACCTCCCATTCTTAGATATTTTTATCAATAGGAAGTCAGACCTAACATTGGGTCCTTGCGTTTACAGAAAACTAACGCACATAGACCGATATCTTAACCCATGTTATCCCAAGCATAAAAAAATACTTTTTTGCTCTGAAATTATTTATTTTGTTGCACTTAAGAATATATTACATGTGTCAAAAAAATAAATAAAAACTCGAAACATACAAAAAAATATTGAACTGAGGTGTCTTTTACTTGATGAAAATCCATTTATCAAAATAAATAAGAACTAAAACTTCAAAGTGACATTTCATAAAGACACGGTGTTGTCGAAACAACTGTCATGTCATAATATATAATTTCGTATAAATCGGAACTTTTAGTTCTTATTTATTTTCAAAAAAATATTGGTGCGTAAACGAACCACTGAGAAAAAACATTAAATAATGTTTTGGGGCACATAAGGAGTAACATATAAAACAACTAAAAGTAGATTGTTTTCCAAATAAAACCTGATTTGATACAAAAAAACGCATAATATTTTATGGTGCATGAGCGCACCACTGGTAACACCCGGTTTCATTTTTGGTGATATTCTACAAAGCATGAAGTATGTAAATGCACATTACACTTATTACAAACGTAAATTGTGTGGCTGTGGCAGATTCTACATCTCTTTCGGGCTTTAGTAGCATGAACAATCATGAGGTGACCTTGATTATCATAATGCACTTCATCTATGGCAGGTGCAAGATTTGTTTCAGTAATTGTTTTATCAGTTTTTGAAAGTCGCAAAGTGATGTAGGATTTAAAATCAAATCAATCACTTCGTTATCAAAAAACATAAAAAATATTTCAAGCGGAGTTTTTCCAGAAAGCCTATTTTTTAGTTCCTCGCATGATCTAAGTTCATCGGATATAGGTGTATGAGTGTAGTCAATCTGACCTTTCTTCCATTTGACAGTAGAAGCAAGCCTGTCGTTTGCAGAAAGCATACTCTTCTTTTGAACTCCAGGGTTTCATTATCTGACGAGTCCCATTCAGGTTCAGTTGTTGATGAATTACAGGACTGTTGAAGGACAACTGTATCATTCGGTGTATGTAATTCGAAAGTTCCACCTATATCAGTTGGTTCCCCAAACTCTTGTAGATTTATGTTATCGTTCATATCTTCTTCGTCAGTCAAGGTATCCACGTCGGGTGGAATATAGACCGCGTCAATATGTTCTGTAAATATTTTTCCACGTTATTTTTAGCATAAATTTACAAGGAATGGACTGCTATAATACATAAGAATACGTAAATCCACATCATACTTTCATTGTTATTGTCTTTATCCATCACAATCTCCTGCATAGTCACCTCTAATTCCTAATTTCCTAATTTCCTAATACCTCGGAAATGCCATATTTTACGAACTGTAACGTTCACTGCACAATTGTTTGATTGTTGGATGTTTATTCTTCTGACTTGTCTAGACTTGCAATAACAAAGTTTTGTTTCACAGATATAACCAATGGTGCATTCACGCACCAGTAAATATTTTCAAAAAATAAAGCATAATCAATATAGTATTTCCAATTTATGTTTTCTACATTACTTAAGAAAAATCGCAATACAAATCCAAAATATGATTTTTTACTATTTTGGATTTACTTGAAAATGTGATCTGAAACAGCCTTAAGACTAAGACAAATAAACTCATCAGCAGTTGCCGAACACAATCACGAAATCGGACATATAATTTTATTCGAGAAAACTAAAATTCGAAACGAAAAATCCGAGAGTCTATAGAAATCTATAAGCAACCTAACAATCTTAACGGCGGCTCAAGCCTCTACCTGTCACCAATATAGGAATCAGTCATCCGAGTCGGTGTTTATGCCCCTCATTTAGCTCCCCCCTCAAACACTATAAAAGTAGGTACAGAGTAAAATGCGAGCCAGTTTCAGTCAAGCTCAGAGGAAGCCAACAGGATGATTGGCGAAACGCTAGCTAGTTCGACTCCAGCTAGTTCGAATCAACAAAAACCGACGCAGGAGGATTCCAGAAGTTTTATAAAAAGTATCTCGTTAAATCGCTATATTTCATTTTTCCAGCCTGTTGTGCTCGTGGGAAGTGCTTAAAAATAATTCTTCAAATGTTTTAAAAAATTTAAATATAAGATTTAAAGTTGAAGTTAAGGCAGCATATTCAAATTAAATAACATTGTTATCGATGTAAAACTACATATGTAAAGTAAACTACATGTTTTGAATATTTGAAATACAGATTTGCTAGAGTTTAATCGGCTGCCAACAAATATTAAGTTGTGTGATAATTTAAATAATAATAAATAATAAAAATTAATTAAAATTTTTTTTATAATTGTTTTGTTGTTATATAGTTTTTTATGTACTTTATACTTTTATACTGTAAAGCATATATATAAATATATTTCTTTCTGCCTTATGAGATAAATGGAAAGAACGCCTTATCTTTTTAATTCACGACTTATCGGAAATCGCGGACCAGAACTAAATGAAAATTTGTGGCACATCACGAGATATTATTGCACACCTTTTCTCGCTTATAATTAGGCATCACGTTTCTCCGCTCTAATAACATTTAGTTATGAAGTCACCTATTTCTTTCAAATAGATAACGCGTGTAAGTTAAGGTTTTCTAACGAAGGATCTCGTTTTTAAAAAACACTTTTTATTTTACAAATAGAACTACGAGGTTTTCTTTAACCCGCTACAAGGAGAACTGGACGCAAAGTACAAAGTTGTTATATATATAAAGTTTTTATGCAAGCGTCGCGTCGCAGATACTGGGGATACTGAAGCTAGCATTTCATCAGCATATTCTATCACATAATTCCTCCCTCCGAAGTGGAAAACAACAGGGACGAAGGGTTGTTTTCGGAAGACTGGTCGTTCTTGGTTTTCTTGGAATCTTGCAGCAAATGGCTCTTGTGGATTTTCCATGCTATAGCTATTAACAAGATTAAAATAAACATCATTCCTGTTGAAGTGGCGAGACTCCAAGTGACTGGATGAATTTCATAACCAATGTCGGGGATCGATGATTTCGCAGCTTCTCGTAGTTTTTTGATCGTATTGAGATCAATCGATTGTAGTTGGAGTGGCTGGTACTTTACATCGTGATGTTCCATATTTTCAATTTTGAAATACCGCAGATGTTTCATCTGTTTGTACCGCGTTACTTTCGTCGATTTGGTATAATTCTTGCGAAATAAAATTTCTAGGGCCAGTAGGTTTGAAATGGTTAATTTGATTATTTTGACGTGGTATAGTATAGTTTGTTCTTGTTGACATAGGTTCGGGTTTATTGTTAGGTATCTGACCTGTCGGTTTAAATACGTTTTTAGGTGGGCCAAAAACTTGCCTATTTGTAGGAAAATTTCTTGGAACTTCGCGTGGTTGAGGCATATTAATTGGACCTCTGGGAAAACTATTAGTCTGGGGAGTAAACTGATTTTGATCATGCCTAATTCTAAAATTTTGATTATGGTGATTATTGTTTTGAAAATAATTTGTAGGGCGAATCGGTTGCACATAATTAAAATTTTGGTTACTAAAATAATTTGGATTTTGTGAAAATTGTTTAACGGGTTCGATAGAAGTATTAGGCAAAACTTTTAATTGAATTGGAGTTCTGAAGATATTTTGTGTATATTGAAAATTTTCCTCTTCAATAATTTGGGTCATAGCTATTTCTATACAGCTCGGATTTTTAAGTCTTATAATACTTTGTAATTGTCCTGGCAATCCTCTAATAAACGTCCTTAAACAAATTTGATCGTATTGACGTAAATGAATTACTTTGCTTGCATTATCCATAGTATCGGCAGGAAATGCATTAATTTTTTGAGCAAGGATACTTCTTAAAACTTGTAATCTTTTCCCAAAATCTAAAGGATGTTCATTTTTAAAGGGGGTGGCCATAAACAAATCCTGTTCTAAACATTCTAAGTTTCGTCTATCGCCAAAACAATTTAACAAAGCTCCTTTAATATTGTCCCACGTTACTAACTCCATTCTACAGCCTACTAGAATTTGTGCGCGATCAACAAGTTTCATTCTTATAGTTCTTAACAAATATTGTTTTAAAATTTCGTCGTTTCCTTGACCATATGTATCAAAAAGGAAATCTCCAGCTGATAGAAAACTATTTAAAGTGTTGGAATCACCATTATATGGCAGAATACTATCTATAAACATTTTTAACAAAGTGTAATTTACACCTGAATTCGACGATTGATTAGAATTCATTTTCAAATTGATTTGACTGTTCTCTACTTTCTGTTCCACTAAATTTAATGAAGTAAAAAACGCACTTAAATTGTCGACGTCTTTATCTTCATTCATAAATTTAATTGATTTTGAAATTTCTTAAAATTGAACTTAAAACTAAGAATCCTTAAAATTATTTCCACCGTCCTAACCAGGGAAGATGAAAGGGGAACAATATGAATTTTGGGCACTAACCTTGATTTCTCTTAGTCGTCAGCCTATTCTTCCTATTGGAATTTTCCTTGCGTAGCACTGCTTGCGGGGGTGATTTCTTGCCTTCCTTGCCCTCAGTCGAACTCAATCACGTTGGGTTTGTCAGACAGTCTATCACTGGTTCGTTTTGGAGTCTAAGGGTTGAAACCCACGTTTCGCAATCTAATCGTCCCGATGACGTGGCTTTGACCGAAAACTACCCCAAATCCTACCGACTGCGCCAGTTAAGGTTTTCTAACGAAGGATCTCGTTTTTAAAAAACACTTTTTATTTTACAAATAGAACTACGAGGTTTTCTTTAACCCGCTACAAGGAGAACTGGACGCAAAGTACAAAGTTGTTATATATATAAAGTTTTTATGCAAGCGTCGCGTCGCAGATACTGGGAATACTGAAGCTAGCATTTCATCAGCATATTCTATCACATAATTTGTATCACGAACATTTTTTTCGGTGAGAAATATTTGCTTTCATTGTCGTTTTTTGCCATTAATTTAATTTCATTTGCCCAAAAAAATGTCCAGTTGCTATTTAAACAGAAACTTAGCCACATAGTTTAGCAGGACGATCCTTGTGTGCAAGTTCATTATTTGCCGACAATAAAACAATTAAATATTTACTGGGATATCATTAAGATCAAGTGTGGTTAAGGCGTTGAACAAGTACTAAGAACGACAACAACTACTCTGAGTTGAGATAATAGTTCCCAATACGAGGGCGCCTCATGCCTCAAAGAAAATCCTAATATCGTTGTCCAAACTCCTAGATGACTGAAGCGAATCCTGAGAAAAAAATCTTTGATTTTATTTCAGGCAAGCGGCAAGGCAGCACCTTACTACATGGGTTCGACGGCTAGCTTACCCAGAGGAACTACGTTCCTGAGAACGTATTCTCCTGCAGTCTCCAGCCTTTCCGCCGATCGAATGAAACCTGTACCGACAGGTGAGTGTTCCGCTCCGTATTTTAAGTGATAAAACCATTTGAAGTCGCCGATATATACTTTGATAAATTAAGATGGAGTGTCCTATTTAAAGTTGGGCACTTCTAAAAGTTCTACCAAAGGGAAGTTTTATAAATTTGTAATTTATTGGCCGCCAGATCTATTCAGAACCAATTCGAACTCTCATAGTATGCATTTTGTTACACCAAACTAACATTCATCGCAGCTTAAAGTTTTGTTCTAAGTTAACAGATCTTTATTTAAGAGGGTGAGCTTTTGTAATATTTTCTTATAGTTTTATAAGAAAAGTATTGGTGATTCAAGTTTCCGCTGCTTTCAAATTTTACTGTTGCTTACTTCAGGTTTTTAAAAATATTTTAATAGCACTTTTAAAAACCTGATTATAATACTTTTAATACTAGGGTTTAATAGGTTACTCTCTGAAGCTAGTATAAATCTAAAAGGCATCTAGATATTTACAAAAACATACTAAGTACACATTTTTCAAGAAGAAATAAGTTGAGAACAACTAAAAAGTGTAGCAACTACTGCAATTATCGAATAATTGACATTTGTCTGAGTATAGTTGAAGTTGCATCCCTCATGTAAAAGGTTTGACTTACATAATTAATTATTAAAATTACTAAATTATTTAAAAAAAAAGTAATTCTTTTATTTAAAAATAGCTTTTTGTTCCTACATGTGCCTGTGACTCAATTCGATTTGAATCGCGATTGAATCGCATGAAAACCCATTTTTTTTCTATATGTAGTCCTATTTCAATCCAAATTCGATTCGGAAAAAATGAGATCCTATCTAAAATTTATTCATGTAAATGCGACTTTGACGTCAGGCTTTAATTTAATTCCGCTGCATCAGGAATCAAACGAACACAATTTCAGATACATTTTGTTTGTATTTTTGTTTTTATTTTGCTGCAAATTGTTAACTTGTAAAACTAAAACACGGCGAGTGATAGTGACTAATATTATTGTTGCTAAAATCGGTAGAAATTTTTGACTAGAACTGAAGGTTAAAAGTGTCTTGGATGTTTTTATAAAATTTAAAATAGTTATTTGATGTCAAAAAGTATGCTCGTTTCGAACAAACTGGTAGAGAAAATAGAACAACTGTCATTGTTAATATTTTATTCAAAACGGACAAGGACGACGGAGGATAAAATGAAATCTCAAAACGTTTACAGGTCGGAATGGAAAGGATTTGAAACCTCACATTAAAACTCACCAAAACTTAAATTCAAAACAAGTTTTAAAAACGACTTTAGTCACATGGTTCTATATTGTTTGCACACATTTTGGGTATTTTAACATTTTGGTCGATGGCTCCCTCTTCAAGGGGTGAAATTTACCCTTACAATTTAGATAGGGACGGCGGGTAAAGTGACTCCTCATTTTAAAGTTCTCTGTTACTAACTTTTCAACTAAGTTGAATTTTAAAAATTATGTTAATGAATTTTGAAGACATTTTTTCAAAAAACAACTTTCAAATTGTTTTAAAGTGTTCGGGTACTAGTTTCATGCTGCAACGCATTATTAGCCTTTTGAGATACTTGATTCATAAAAGTTGAGTGTGACACATGATTCCTATTTTTATTTTTTACAATCTTCTTCCATGCACTAAAACTTTTATTCAAGTTCTCTTCTGACATTCTCCTTCTGCATTCATCTGCTATTCGTTTATGCAACTCTAGCAGAAATTTTAACCTAGTTAGCAAAGGTCTACTTTTTAAATATGACCAGAAAAAGAGTGACTTAAAAATGGAAATCTGTAGACCGTGCAGACCATTCCTTCTTCCAGGAACTGGAAATAAGATGATCCGAGGTATCTAGACCACGACAAAATACATCTTCTTGCTTAGTTACTGATAGTTTTCTAGCTTTATGTAAACGGTCTTCTTTGTAAAGTTTATTTCTTGATTCAGCAGCATCTTCACCAAAGTCAGCGACAGGCAGTAAACAATTTTCAGTTATTTGATTATTACGCACCAAACCTTTATGGATGGAATCTGGCATGAGGAACCAAGGACATAAACTTACAAATAATGTGCCTGTATGAAAGCAGTGGCCTGGAAACATTCAGATGTTATCCCATTTTCAAAAACTAAGAATCCGTCTGAGTTCAATCATCTTTGTTTGATCAGCATTCTTACTACTTTATCAAAAGCCTTAGAAACAGTAGTATTGCGGCAGTTGAGGCACCATGCCAGCGCAAACAGAATATCATCGTAAAAACAATCGGAATTTCGGTCGCTATATAGCTGCGAGATTACTCGTATTATTCAAAGCTGCTGATGAAAACAAGATTTTAGTAAGGCGTGTGACATGCTCAATCATAAGTTCATGTTTGCCATTTTAAAATTCATTGGTTTCAATTATAATGCCAAAAATCTCTTAAAATCCTTTCTATTTAGCAGAACACAAGACATATGTTCTTCTTCAGAAGTGGCACAGGGTAGCACCTTGCATCCTCTTTTGTTTACTATTTATACTTCTTAGTTTTCTATGTCGTTAAATAACCTCAATTATCATCGTTATGCCGACGACACACAACTATACACAGCTTTCAATGACAGTGACATTCGGCAAAGTAATCAACTTATAATTTCTGATTTAAATAACTCCTATAATATTGCAAAATTAATCCTACTAAATCAGCTGCTGTAATTTTCGGAAAATTTGGCTCTTGTTTATAATTAATGACAATTTCTCCAATTTTATGATTGCAGTGAAAGGCTGAGTTTATTCTTGGATTCTAAACTTCCGTCAGCATGTAACTGGAAAGCTTTATAAAGCTTATTTACTCTTCCAGATTCTACTTATCACAAGAGACCAAGAGGCTGCTTGGAGACTCTATGATGTTCTCTCAGCTGAACCACTGTTCTAGTAAATACAGTCCTTGCCTTGATGCAGCTGATAAAAGACGATTCCAAAAACTTGCAAACTCATGCCTGAGGTTGATTTATTTTTCAAACACGCCCAAGAATTTCCAATTTGCTCCTAACTGTTTGTTGGCTCAATATGTATAATAGATTCAAGTTGCATAGGGCGCCTTTTTATTTTAAGATCATTAAAAATAATGTTTAATAAAATTTCCTTTAGAGCAAACGTCGGTGGGCTTAATTTGCGTAATAGGGAATTGTTGACTCTTCCCCAGCACAAAAAGGAAGTATTTAAATGGTCATATTCTTACATTGTTGCTTTGTTAGTTAACTCTGCACTTGTCTGGAGTTAAGTTTAAATTGCAATACTTGATCATTTGTGTTCATGGTTTCCTATTCTTCTCCTTTTATTCTTACCTTTTCCATTTTCCTCTCTTCTTTCATATTTATTGTTTGTTTACTTACTATATAAGCCTTATTCTTTGCTGTCTGGAACAATGAAGCTTAACAGTATCTGGGTTTTGCCTGGATGGCTGAGATTTATTTCAAGCCTTTTGCGGCATGTTTTCCTAATTTAGTTACACTGGTTACACATAGTATACTATTGTAATTTTTCATGCTGTTAGCAATAAACGTTATTATTATTATTATTATTATTGTTTCTGATCACTAAGACAAAAATTTAACTTGTCCTTCCATAAGGCTCTTCTGTGGCGTTATGGTTTTTAATGTTCTCAAATACGAATTTGGTTAAACTGGAAATTTTGAACTTTGCGTCGTTTTCTTTTTGCCATACATGATTTGAGAAACAGTATTCGCCTACAATACAAAATACAAAAAATGCCCAATATGTAACTATATGTATAAGTCACTTGTTTACCGACATTTTGTACTTCTAAGAAAAAAAAGCACCCTCTCAGGTATTTTTATTTTTATGAAGCGTGCTAAACAAGCACATTCTTTCTAAGAAAATTATTACGTTAATCTCCTAAGTTAACATCCAATATACAACTAGAGAAAAAATGTCTTATACGTAACCAAATAAAAGCGCTGGTGATAGACGCCAACTTTCAGGTTTTTAAAGTGCTGATCAGCTGATCAGACCATAGTGGGTATTAAAAATAAATGAAAATGGCATTCAAAACTGGGTTTGGATGCAGGAAGGTTTTCAGTACGATCTGAAAATGTTTTGAAATTTCGACAGTTTGACAGTCACATCTGGCGTCTGCCGTTTTTTTGTGAGTTTTTGAATGATAGGTGCAATATACAGGGTACGATCCGAATATGTAATAAAATATACCACACCATTTGAAATAGCGACTTGCGAATATCGTCTATTATGGCCGTATATCAAATTTGCAAAACTTCCCTTTGTAAGCTCCACAGAACTCTTAACGGGACCATCGACGTGAATCGCTTTGCGAATTTGATTTGGAAAACGTTCGTGACGTTTGGAACATAATTCTCGGCTATTTGTTTGCCGTATCGCTGTCTCCATTCGTTCCTCTTCACGTCTCTTATTCAATTTGCTCCAGTTATTTCCGTTTTCCGACTTCGAATGGTTTTCGGTATTCAACGATGTTGTTTTGGAATGCCTGCCGAATGAAGAGTTTCTATCGGGGCATGAATTTAACCGAAACCTTTTGTTTTTGGAAGTCGTTCGTATCTTGTTATTTGCCCAGTGTAGTACGTATGCGTAGAAACTTGTTTTTTTTTTCATTTCACTCAACAGTCTTTTCGTTTGGTTTTATAGTTTGATGCATAGAAACGCAATTTTTGATATCGTATGATAGGCAAATCCCATACGATACTACTACGCATAAAGAAATTGCCACAGCTAGGAAGAGTTCCGTCTCTGTATTGTTATGCGCTTCAGTTTTTTTTGTATAGAAAATATTTTCATATCTTGAAATATTCGTTTTTCTGTATATGCTGCTAATCATATCATCAGACTCATATAAGATTCATCATAAGACTTATACAGGGTGCCCATTTTTTAATAGAAGGATTCGATTTTCGCGAAAGTGCGCTACTTTTTCGAAAAACAAAAGATGCCGCATACAGAATTTTCATATACTTTTTGATTTTTGAGACACGGAATGT